CACCGGCCAAACCCCCTGGTCTCCGAGTGCTGGGGGCTGCATCGTCCACTGTTATCCGTCCGGGAGGAGCGACCTCCGTTAACGTCCCGCCGACCGGGGAGCCAACCCAGTACCCAGCTAACACAGAGGAAGACCAGCTCCGAGACCTGTAACAAGGAGAAGATGTCCTGGGTAGGGTGTACCAATCCTCTGTCACCCTCCTTTCCTGACCCGGGGAGCGCCTGCTCGTCACCAAAGCCTCCCGCCGTGTGGCCCCCGTACTCCGTGCTCCAGAGGCCTGGACGGCCCCACCCCGGGGACTACGACTCCTTCCCCCCCAGTGTTCGGTCCGCCCCTGCCGACCATGCCTGGGGGCCCTGACCCTGCTCCTTTCCGACCCCCCAGAGGTGGAACTGTCCCACCTTGACCCACCCCTAGCTCCCCCAGCCCCCTGATCCCTAACTGGGGATGGGCTGATGCTGCTAGACACCGAGCAAGACCCCCCCTCCTGCCACTGCGCCCCGGCACCTGCCTGCCTACCCAGGCCAACCCCCCACCCCCTCCTGGGCAGGCTCCACGGCCTCCAACACCCCCATTATCCAGCCCAGCCACTGCCTGATCGACTATCCCCCCTGCTCCCAGGGGCCCCGACTGCCCTACAGGCCAAGGCCCACCCCTAGGGATGCTGAATTTCGCTTGCCGGGTGGACCCCCCGTCCAATCTCGCTGTACTGAGGGACCCCTTAGGCGCCCCTGACCCCTTCCCCCTCACTACCCGCCCCTTCCTCAGCACCACTGAACTACCTAGAGCTCCCCCAACATCCCCTCTCGCTTCCCCTTGCAACCTTAGAGTGGCTGGCCTATTCCCCCCGCCTCCCCGTCTCCACTACCCCCAGACAACTCCTTCCCCTCACCCAGCACGCCAAGAGAGCCCCTGGCGGGCCCCCAGCACTTGCCTGTCTGTCCTGGGGCCTGCCAGATGGCTTCACGGTTCCGGCCCCGCCCGCTGCGCACGCCAACCTCCTGGGCCGTGGCCCCACACTGTCCATCGCTCCAGGGGGCCCGGCCGGTGCCGCGGCCCCCGCTCCTGGCGTGGCCCCCTCCGACCTGGGAGCCGGACCGCCGCCGTCACGGGCAGCCGCCCGCCGCTCAGCATGTCCCCGAGGCCTCAATAGCGCGCTGGGAGGTGGGGCCTCGACCGCACTGCTACTGGGCCTGCTGTGGCCTCCTCCCACCGCCATGCACCTGCTGACTCAAGCTTCGCCGGCCTCCTGGCCCACAACGGACGGTCCTGTTCGCCCTCCTGGGCCGCCATTCCCGCCAGGGCCGGTCCGAGTTGGGCCCGCAACCAATCCGCTCTATGTCCTCGCGCCGCTGACCGGATCCCCTCCAGTAGCCTCTCCACCTCATCCATGGCCCTGCAGAGATGAAAAGAAGAAAAAAGGCCCTACCAAACCCAATCTGCACACACAGAAGTGCCCACAAACTCGGTCAGGTAGGAAATTAGAAGTGAGTTCACTTAAAATGGCTGCCTATTAAAATATTCCAACCCACTTACCCATAACTCCATACTTCCTTCCCTCCTCCTATGCCCGCCTCCTAACCCCTGTCAAGGCCCTTTTTCGCTTAGTTGTGCTTTGGCTACATGGGGCTACATTCTGCATTCATTATATACACACACTACACACAAACACACACACACTGCATTCATTATATATACACACTACACACAAACACACAGCCACACTGTAAATAAATATTCAATTAATGTAATTTTATTGGGCTCTAATTTTATTTAGAAATTTACCAGTAGCTGCTGCATTTCCCACCCTAGTCTTATACTCGAGTCAATACGTTTTCCCAGTTTTTTGTGGTAAAATTAGGGGCCTCGACTTATATTTGGGTCGTCTCATACTCAAGTATATACGGTAATCTATATATGTATATTGATATATAGTTATTACATTGCTCCCCTCTCATCTCACCCACACACACAATACAGGCCCAACACATTCACACACTACACCCCTCATAAACACTGGATTCCCTGCACACACTATAGGCATACACTACATCACCTACACACAAACAACATTCTTGACACAAACAGTATATCCCATATACACACAATGGATCCCTAACGCACACACTAGATCCCTTATAGAATCATATTGGTCCACCTGCACATGCAGTACATCCCTGACACATATATTACATCCCATATACAAACTATTGATCCCTTACACACACACGCTAGATCCCCTATAGACACACAATGCACCATCTACACACACTCCATCCCTGACACACACAGTACATCCCATATGCCCACTATGCATTCCCTATGCACACACTTGATTCCCTACAGACACACACTAGATCCCCTATACACATATACACACACTTTCTATAGCCCCTATTCACACACATACACTACATTCCTTATGCACACACTCACTACATCCCCTTATACACACTACAGCCAGTAGAGCAAGAATGTCCAAAAGGTAGATGCTCATCTCTCATTAAACTCCAAAGTATTTTTATTTCATATTGAGAATACACTGCAATACCGGTGTCGACCATGTGGCGCTGTGTGTGGAGAAAGGCAGGGATAGGAAACTACATCTTATCCCTGTTCTCTCTCCTGACTGAATCTGCAGATCAGGTAACTGAGAGATGCGGAGGGGGCAGCCTACAGGTCAGTTAAGTGAGGGATGGGGAGAGGGCAGCCTATTGATCAGGTAAGTGAGAGATGAGGGGGCAGCCTACAGACTAGGTAAATGAGGGATGGGGGGAAGCCTACAGATCAGGTAAGTGAGGGATTGGGGGAAGTGGGCAGCCTACAGATCAGCTGAGTGAGAGATGGGGGGTGAAATGAGCAGGAAGGGACATCAAGGAGCAGGAAGGGTCTGCAAGGAGAAGGAAGGGTCTGCAAGGAGAAGGAAGGGTCTGCAAGGAGCAGAAAGAGTCAGCAAGGAGCACAAAGGGAAAGAAGGAGCACAACGGTAAAGGAGCAGAAAGAATCAGAAGGAGCACAAAGGTAAAGAAGGAGAAGGAGCAGCAAGGAGCAGAAATGGGCAGCAAGGAGCTGTGTGGGGATATTTATGGGATGATAATATTAAACAGTCGAGAATTGCCCACTATTTCAATTCTCTTAGATCTTAGAGATCGTTCATCATGTAAGTGAAATGTATTCCATACAAATAAAATCACAATTTGTTATAAAATAGATTTAATTTATTGTGACAATAAATAACAATATTAGGCAGCATGCATGATAATAATCAGTGAATATTTAGTATAACATAAGTATGCAATACAATGGAATGGCTAAACACATTACAAAGCTACAAAACTTCACACAGCCCAGCCATGAAACCATGGCTAACAGTTAAATCAACTGAGTAACCCTTTCAATGCTGTCTAGATCCTCATAGGCATATCATATCCTATTCTCTTGTAATTTTCAATTAAAATAACATTCGAACCAGCTCATTAATCATTTCCTGGAACCATCCAATAAGAATAATCTACCAGATTTTTACAAAAGCCGAATTTTAATTTGCCTAAAAAGATATCTTAGCTTATTTTAGAGCAAATCAATACACCTGGATAAAAACAGTGGTATGCTAACACGTGATACTATCACATTAATATATAATTATTCTTAATTCCACCTGCAGGATGGAATGTTTATAACTATATATTCTTTAGTTAACAAAGATTTCTAAATATTGAAACCTGACCGTGATTTATCCAGTCATATATCATGCTATTAGTAAATTTTAATTAATTTAAATTAATTAAATAAAACCAGCATAATTACCAGTTATGTAGATATTCTCATCAGATGAGTAGGTAGTCCCAGGAACTTGCGAGTATGATTGGTTGTATGGAGGTGCGTGAGTTATAGAGAAAAGTGATGTTGGTTAGAAAGTATCAGTACATTTTAAGTGTCAAGGAGTTTAAGAGTTGAGTGTTAGCCCCAGAGAGTGTCCTGGATCTCTCTGCATGTCCGAATCTGATTGCCCAAACTCCACCAACCCCCCCTCTCTACCAACTAACCTCTCTCTTCCCTTTGTCTTAACTTTTAAGGGCCAGACTCTCTGTATGTCATTAGTTGATAAGGCCAGTAGGAAGCTGAAAGGTGTGTTCAATCTATGGATCGCAATTTAGGTATTTGATGCTTAGAGGGCAGTCTCGTCTAACTAAACCTTCCTATCCAGGAAAGAGTTAACTTTTCCTGATGACGATTTTGACGTCATTTGGCTTATCTAAAATGACTACCATAACTTAGATTTGCTGTCAGTTCAAAGCGTTTGTCTAAGTCTTTGTGGCAACTACTTTGATCGTAATTTCTAAAATTGACAGTTCTAAACTCAATTTCACCCCTTACTTACAATGGAACCTTGTAAAATTTAGAAAGTAAAATTAGTTACTTAGTCTTCTCTGTCACTAGTGTCTGTGTTTATATAATGCATTCCTTAGCTCAGGCTCAGTTGTTAGTGAAAGCAAGGAAATTATGTGTCTTTGTTATCCTGAAGATAGCAAAATGGAGTCCGCTCTGTTCTCAGTGACTCTGGCAATATACACTTTTAATTTCTTTCTTAGCACAAAATGTCTGCCGATATAAATATTCTGACAGCTGGAAGGGGCAGCAAGGAGCGCAAAGGTAAAGTAGGAGCAGGAGCAGAAAGGAATAGAAATTAGCAGGCAGGGTCAGCAAGAAGCGGAAAGGAGTAGCAGGAGCAGGAAAGACATAAGGAATACAAAGGTGAAGGAGCAGATAGAATCAGAAGGAGCACAAAAGAAAAGTAGGAGAAGGAGCAGAAAAGGGCAGCAAGGAACAGAAAGGGGCAGCAGGGAGCTGGAGGGGGCAGAAAGAGCACAACAGTAAAGGAGGAGAAGGTGCAGAACGGCGCCGCAAGGAGCAGGAAGGGACAGCAAGGAGCAGAAAGGGCAGCAAGAAGCAGGAAGGGACAGAATGGGCACAAAGGTAAAGCAGGAGAAGGAGCAGAAATGAACAGGAAGGGACATCAAAGAGCAGAAAGGAAAAGGAACAGAAATGAGCAGGAAGGGGCAGCGAGGAGCAGGAAGGGTCAGCAAAGAGCAGGAAGGGTCAGCAAGAAGCAGGAACAGGCAGCAAGAAGGATGAAGGGGCAGCAAGGAGCAGGAACGCTCTGCAAGGAGAAGGAAGGGGCAGCAAGGAGAAGAAAGGGGCACAAAAGTAAAGGAGCAGAAAGAATCAGAAGGAGCATAAAGGTAAAGTGGGAGAAGGAGCAGAAAAGGAAAGCAAGGAGCTGGAAGGGGCAGAAGGAGCGCAAAGGTAACGTAGGAGAAGGAGCAGAAAGGAACAGGAAGGGACAGCAAGGAGCAGAAAGGGGCAGCAAGGAGCGCAAAGGTAAAGTAGGAGAAGGAGCAGAAAGAGTCTGCAAGGAGCAGAAAGGGATCAGAAAGAGAAAGGAGCAGAAGGGTGCAAAAGAAGCAGAAAGGTAAAGAAGCAGAAGGAGCCAAGTAGGAGAGAACCAGGAACCAGCGATTGGCTTAGAGCATCAGCTGTCCACTCTAGCCAATCTGCGGCACCCATGCTTGACGTCTATCTGCACTTCCTGACACTCCATTTCAGAAGCCGAATACCACTGAGCGACATGTATTCCTGACACCATAGTTGTGAAAACGCTATTCACCCTTGCTTTATGTGATAATGACTATGTCATTACAATTATGCCCCCCTGGAAAAATTCCTGCGGACGCCCATGGCTAGTGATCTATAGTGATGTACCGAACGGTTTGCCGGCGAACGGTTCCCGGCGAACATAGCATGTTCGCGTTCGCCACGGCGGGCGAACATATGCGCGGTTCGACCCGCCCCCTATTCGTCATCATTGAGTAAACTTTGACCCTGTACCTCACAGTCAGCAGACACATTCCAGCCAATTAGCAGTACAGCCTCCCTAGCAGACCCTCCCACCTACTGGACAGCATCCATTTTAGATTCATTCTCAAGCTGCATGCTTAGTAAGAGGAGGGAAAGTGTAGCTGCTGTTCATAAGATAGGGAAAAGCATAGCTAGGTTAGGATAAGGGTATGCTTTTTTTTTATTTTTTTTTTCTATGTAAT